TCTCGCTCTTGCTCAGGCTGGTCTCGAACTCCTGAGCTCAAACAATCCGCCTGCCTCGGCCTCCCAGGGTGCTAGGATTACAGGCGTGAGCCACCACGCCCGGCCTCCCTTCCTTCATTGAAATAACATGTCTGTCTCCCATTGGTAGCAATGACTTCAATTTTAAATACACACGCGCACACACACACACACACACACACACACACGCTGTAGCAGTGACTTCAGTTTTAAACACACACACACACACACACACACACACACACACACACACACACACGCTGTCCAGAAAGTATCCAGCCATTGTTAATATAACGACTCATATTACGGGGCTGGATACTTTCCGGACAGCCCTCATATATATAGTTCTCTGGCATGCAGGTTGTACTTAAAGGATCAAGATTATATTATTGTGCATTTTATAAATACTTTAAAGTTTTAAAAACATATTTGTGTTTTTCCTATTTTCGTGTCCATCTATTTTATAGAGGATGATTGAAGAATCATTGAAGATTGAAATGGAAAAAGAAAGAAGTATTCAAGAAACAAAAGACACATCTTTTCCCGAGGAGAACCCTTTAGAGAAATACATGAAAATCATCCACCAGGGGCAAGACCAGGAGTTGGCAGATGAGGTGCCAATGCCATGGATAGGGCAGTCTGTGGGTGGGGACACCCAAGGCTTTTGTGGGTTTTTTAACATCTTGGGACAGGAGTCTGTCTTCTCCACTAAAGACAAAGAGGTTAAAAGTATACAAAATCCAAAGTTCAAATGGAACCTCAAGTCTTTTAAATACATTATACTCCTGACAAAATGTCATAGTTTTTGCTTAGGCGACAGACTTAAGAGATTTTGATTTGTCAAAGTTTGTAAAGGTTGGGATATCTCTTACTGTTTTAGGAACAAGAAATAATGTCTCAGTACTAATGCATTTATTACGATAGATCTTAAATAACATATATTTCAAAAATAGTTCTTAGAGAAACCAAAGTATTTCATAAAATTAATGCATATCTATTTTCAAATTTCTTCTTTCCCCCTCTTTGTATAAGGGCTCAAAACAGATGGTCGGAGAAGGCTCCCTAGTGGACACGCTGCCACCTAGTGAAAAAGACGAAAGGTATGGTTTCCCTGAACACTGTGTTTCATACGTGAACCATTACTGCTCATTTTGTCAGCCAAGGGAGATGGTCAGGTATTTTTAGGTTGCCTGTATGAAATTACTGAATCAGAAATACACCCACGAGGAGGAGCCAAGATGGCGGATGACACAAGCCGCCAGTCAGAAGGTCTCTGCAAAAAAGACGAATTTTAGAAGAAAGTGAAAAAAATAAGCGAGCAGAGAAACATAGATCGGGTGAGGGTCAAAAGGAAGGGTGCCTAAAACTACAGGAGACTCCACGGGAAGACGTTGCGGAAGAGAATTGGAAGGAGAAAGGTCCCGAGAGGCTTGGAGACCAGCGACAAGGGTAGGTGGAGCGGTTAACTTCCCCCTCCCTGGCATCTCAGACTGCGGGTGGCTCCTGAGTGGCTGGAGAGACCTGCTGACACCAGCCCAGAGATGGCTGCCGCCAGTGAGCAGTGGCCTCTTGCGGACTCAGCACTGGGCTCCCAGCCCCTTCGGGGCACCTCCCCAGGCACAGACCCCAGCCTAGCGGCAGACGCCATAGTGCTCCATTCTCTCCTTCCCCCTCCCTACCCGTGCGTGCCCAGAAAGACAATTTAGCCATCACACGGAGGCATCTCCAAGGAACGGGACCTTTCCTTTTGGGGCCCTACAGCAGACTGAGGGGTACTTAGACTGCGAGTTCCCTACCCACCAGCCCTCCCAGGTGCTACTTGCCTGGGGACTCCAGGAGAGTGGGGCAAATTCCGAGGTGGAGTGAAATCGATCCAGCTTGGGCACCCTTTAGGTGATTTGAGACCAGCACCCCTCCCCCTGGCAGGGTCAGGGATTGATCTCCAGGGTCCAGGGGACAGGCCTGCAGACCAGACCCCGTACACCCAGGTCATGATCGCACTGCCCTGGGGCACGGAGGAGAGATCTGTGAAAGAGCCTACTGAGGAGTGTGTGCCTTTGGGTCAGATCAGCGTGCCTGACAGGCAAACCTCCTCCTAAAAGAGGGCTGTGCACCCAGCTTAGGCTACGATCCTGGGTAGGGAACCTCCCAGCCCACGTCACAGCCAGGGGAGATCCATCGGCCTGTGGCCCCCTTGCTGGCAGAGGCCTGAGAGAGGACATGGAGAGGGGGAGATTGGAGGGGAGCGAGACCTGCTCCAGAGTGCGGGTCTTGGACAGCTCCACCCCTCAAGCCCAGACTTTCAGCTGAGTGGAGCCATTTCAGCCCCTCCCGGCAGCTCTGCACAGAAACAAAGAGCAGAACTTTGACCCCTGCTAACAGCAGCTGTGGAGCCTGAGGGCAGACTTATCCAACCCAGGCCCACCCAGACTCACTCCTGGTCCTGCCCCCACTGAGGGGGAGAATAAGGACAGCTCAGGCTACAATCCTGAGTAGGGAACCTCCCGCCCACAGCCCACGTCACAGCCAGGGGAGATCCATAGGCCTGAGGTCCTGCTTACTGGCAGAGGCCTGGGAGAGGCCACGGAGTGGGGGAGAGTGGAGGGGAGCAAGACCTGCTCCAGAGTGTGGGTCTTGGACAGGCCCAGCCCCCAAGCCCAGACTTTCAGCTGAGTGGAGCCATTTCAGCCCCTCCCAGCAGCTTTGCACAGAAACAAAGAGTAGGCCTTTCAACCTGCTAGCAGCAGTTGTGGAGCCTCAGGGTAGGCTTGCCCAACCCAGCCCCACCCAGACTCACTCCTCCCACTGAGGGGGAGAATAAGGACACACCTGGAAATCCCAGGGCCCCACCCACCACCTGAGGCACA